TGACAGGCATGTCACGCTTTCCGTGCCCCAACCCAGGCTCATCTTTTCCTCCACACAGGTGATCTTCCTCCTGTGTTTCTGTCTCAGCAAATGGCACTCCAGGGAAGCCCGGGGGTCACCCGAGGCTCTTCCCTCTCCTCTGCCCTGTGCTCAGGTGGCCGTGGGGATCTGGGCGGTCTTCCTCCCTCCTGCCCTGCCTCTGTTGCTTTGTGTCTGTTCAGGCTCTCCCTCTTTCTGTCCTGGCTTAAAGCAACATTTTGTGCCTGGTCTCAGTCTCAAAACTCTTAGATTTCTGATGGCTCATTCACATGGGAGCTGGAGTGACCTTTCTGGTTGTGTCTTATTTATTTACTTTTGCCCTCAGGCTTCAGGAAGGATTTAGGTACATACAGGAATCCCATCTGGTTACTCCCTTGCTTAATACCTGTCATTGCTTCCCGTCTGACGTTCCCAGCATGGAGTCCCCAGCCCTCCATGATCTCATGCGCATCTGTCTCTCCAGGCCTGACTCGGGTCTCAGAAACCCCAAGAAGCCCCAGCGCCCCAGCCCCTGGCACCTCCCCAGGTGTGCGCGTTGCTGTGCACCTTGCCCGGCCCCAGGCTCTCAGACACCTTCAGGCTGTGGGGTGGTGAGGCAAGTCCAAGGGTTCAGACACTGAGCGCTCCCACGCCGCGCGCACGCATAGCGCCGCTTCCAGATCGCATTTGCACAGTTTTCCATTCCAGCGCTCCCCTTCTGTGGTCACGACCCTGCGTTTTCGAGTTGTGTCCATACCCCTTCCTGTTACAGAGCTGGCCATAGCAGCCTTCCTTGTCCATGTGGCGGGGATGCCCCTCTGGCTCCCCGGCTCCTGTTGCCTCTCTGTCGCGTGGCCGACACACATTTCCTCAGGTTTCCCACGATGGTGACTTAATCTCTCCTGGTGACCATTCCCCGTGAGGTTGCCTGACAAGGGTCCTGCCTTTGTCCTGCACCGCACAGGCGGCACCTGGGTTCAGCGTCAGTCCCATGTGAGCGGGGCCAGGGAAGAAGGGCTGGCAGTGGACCAGCCTGGTCCGAGGAGGTTTCTGGCTCCAGACGGGGCCTTCGTGTCGCCCTGGGGCTCCAGCCGCTGCTGGTGTCGGCGAGGCTCCTTCTTTCTGACCCTCCCTGGGCTGCGCACACCCGCTGCTCCTGTGGAGCAGCAGTTCCCGAAGTGTGTGCATTGAAGCCAATCCCATGGGGTGTCCCCGTCCCCAAGCAAACTGTTGATGTCACAAGTTTGAGACACGCTGGGTACTGAGATTCACGACCCTCAGCCGTACACCAAACTCCCCAGAGAAGTCCCACAGTGACAGGCCCCTGCCAACCCAGTCCACCTCCAGTCGCTCGTTACCCAGGGACACTCTCGCCACGTCACACCTCCTCCCGGTTTCTCTAAGCACGCTTCCTGACATCATGCGTCATTAGCAAAGCCCCTCATCCTGCTGTTGTCACCAAGAGTGGTCCCAGGCTCGTGTGGCCCCAGTAATGCCCTCGCCCACACCATGACCCCGAGGGCCGGGCTCTGCTTCCTTGCCTGCAGCTGGGAAGGGGTGGGGCCGTAGTTCTGCGTGTTTACTCTCGGCTTAGGTAGCAGTTCAGTTCTCCCACGTCCAAGCGTTGCAGAGAGCCCTGCCCTGAGCCCGGCACGGCACAGGCGCTCAGTGACTAACTGACAGGTGCATACGTTCCTCGTTTCACTGGCCTCTACCTGTGCCCGGAAAGGGCTGCCGCACGTTCACACTGTGCTTGCCCAGTGGAAAGCGCCACCCCTCTGTGCCCATGTCCGCCGTGGCCGGGGCGCCGGCCTCCTCCTGGTGCCCCGGCCTCCTCCTGGTGCCGCAGGCCTTGGGGGCCGTACTCTGAGTGCCAGCGTAGAATCCCAGAACTCACACAGCGCCCACTGGGGCTGCGGTCAGGGCCTCCTTAGCGAGGGGATGCTCCCTGGGCTTGTCGTCCATACTCAGAATTCAGAGTTACCTCGAGAGGGAAATTATTCCAACTGATGATGATTCTGGGGCCTCTCCCAGCTTTCTCTTCCTGGGGCTTTTCTTCCTTAGCCAGACTGTCGTAGCTGTGTCCACCCCGCCTACACACAGAGCAGTGCCCGCAGCTGGTGGCAGTGACCTTTAGAAATCCAATCCAAAGTAAAGGTTAGTCAACAGATCAGAGCAGCCCCCTCAGTGTTTGAGTATTCTTATTAACGCCTCCACCTAAGAAGGAAGTGGTAGCCGTCGCCCGCTGTGGGTTCTCCATTCCACGGGCAGGTTTCTACTTGGGTGTCAATGTTAAGGTCAACTTCTGCTTCATAACTTCTCAGCTCCAGCATCCCTGTCAGCACTGGGAGCTCAGCGTGGACAGGCAGGAAAGAGGGGAAGCTACGCTGACTTCCATGTGCTCTCGTTGGCATCTGCACCCACTGATATAGCACTGCCACCATCTTGCAGGCGAGGCACGGAGATTTATTTGATCATTGGTTCTGCCCACTGGACTGCAAGCTCTCTGAGAAGAGGGCTTTTGCCTTGCCCACCGATATCAACGATGCCTAGCAGAGGCCCGGTAGATGGTGGGCAGTCAGTACTTACTGAATGAAATACCACAACTTCCTCCCTTGTTAGGAGCAGACTGGGCCATTCTCACCTTGGCTCATTGCCAGCTTTAAAAGAAAATTTTTTTTACTTGATTGAATAGTAAAGTCTCAATACTGTTTAACATACTGGCTCTTCTCATGAAAGGGTCAGTTATTACTGCTTTTCAATTAATTTCTTCACAGGGCAAATAGAATGATATCGAATTTAGCAAAAGAGAAAAAAATCAGTGTTTTAAAAGATAGAGAACATTTTCTTTTCTTTTCTTTTTTTTTTTTTTTGCGGTACGCGGGCCTCTC